TACAACAAACAGGAAGTGATTTTCTGCCACTGTAAACTGCAGAAAACACTGATGAGGTGGATAAATGGGAACATGCAGATAGGTATTTTTTTACATCACCTGATGCCAGATGTTCCCTTTGTCTTAGCGAGGCAATTACTGACCTTTATAGATTTCATGCGTAATTTTAGAATTTTAAGAAATCTATTGAGTAATTTTAGATCCAAAATAGGGCAAATATCCCATTGGGTTTTGGTACTGTATAGAATTTTCAGAAAACACTTTTGAACCTGTCTTGTGGAGGACATCTATGATCCAGAGAGGAAAAACTGTAGCAGACCCTCCCCCCCACCAACACCTTTAGGAGTGAAGGTGCCAGTTCATTAGGAACATGGCTTTGGGGGAGGCTTTATGTGACAAACCTTGTACCAAAAGGAAGAGCTGAACTTAAGTCTTGAAGTTGAAGCCTGGGTACAGTGGACAGGTGCTCTGCATTGTAAGGAGCTAGGTGTTCCAAAAGAGCAGCTTTTGGAACTCTCCATTTTGGAAGTAAAACATTTTCTCTGGTGAACGTTTTTATAAATTTGTCAATTATCTCACAAGATGTCTTCCTTGGAAGGGTATACTTGTAAGGCACCTTTTGAGGGCGGCTTCATCTGTCCAAGATTTAAGTCATAAGATTTTGTGCATGTGAATGGCTATTGCAGCCATTTTAGAAATTTGTGTCATGACATGTTCTAGGGCATTAACACAAAAAAGCAAGGCAGAAGGCAATTTCTGTAGTTGGTCTGTAACAGCACAATCCTGAAATACAGGGTCATGCGGATTATTCATTGTCCTGGCTCAGTTAGCTACAGTTTGACATACTGAAATAACAGCGACAGCTAGTAGGTAGTAGGGCTGGGGCTTACATCCATCATAAGAACCTTCCACTTCATTGGAGAAAAGGGTATGTCAGACTCCAGTGCCTCCAGTGGGCAATCCACCATGCCAGAGAGAGTCTGGCCTTGCAGTTCAGATGTATGGGGTGGTCCAAGGACTGAGTTTGTTTGTCCCACACTGGTAGAATGTTGTTTTGCAATGGTCTGGTGTGAAAATGAACTTATGGTGCAGTCTTGAAGGAGGCAACCATTAGACCCTACACCCTTAAGCAGGCATGAATCAAAAGTCTCCTCTGGGTTCTAAAGGCCCAGGCATGAGTGCGGAGGGACAGATGTATGCCCGAGGGCAGGAAGATCCTGTACAAGGCTGTGTCTAACATTAGGCCCAACAGTCTGTTAGACAGTTCGAGCAATGACTTCCACTCTTTGAGGATACTACTGAAGCTCTGCAGATATGGGTGGACATGGATAGAGGAAATCTAATTTTTCAGCAAGGGATTGACCAGATACACTGCAACATGAATCCCTTGAGCACAAAGCAGAGCCAAGACTGGGGCAAGCAACTTGGTGAAAACTGTGGAGGCCATGGACAGGCCAAAGAGAAGGACAACAAATTGCTAGAGCTGATTGCCCACTGCAAAATGTAGATAGCACTGCAAGGAAGGAAAGAAAGGAATGTACACATTTTTTAGTGAAAAGAAACTTTCTTAGCGGGAGGCCAGGGGGACAAGACAGGTTTTACGAAGGGAATGGACTAGGAAAGTTTTAGCACATTTTGGTACTTTTAGGGACCCCACAATGGAGAGCCTGGGGCAAACAGGCTCAGGCTGCTGTAATTCTAGACAGGAGCGTACAGTATAGGGTAGCTATGGTATCCTTAAATTTGAATGTCAGCTGAAGGGGTCCCATACTGATCAGATTCCTCCAGACAGGAAAGGGGGGAGGGGATCTTCTTAATCTACCACCTCCTCTGGAGGTGTCTCTACCTGAAAAAGTCCAGGACTTGCTCAGAAGAGGAGACTCAGGAGTGATGCCTCTTATAAGGCCTGAAATTTTGTCCATGAAACCAAAAATTGTGACAGAAAATTCCTCGATATAAAAAAGGAGAAAGGGTTTGCAGTTAACAGGCAAGCTGAGTGATATGAGTGTGCACCTAGAAGAGGAAGAAGGAAGCACGTTCAAGCTCAGTAAGTGAAGAGAGAACAAGGCCATGCAGGAAATGCTTGCTCCTACAGCCAGAAAGTGCAGAGGAGGCACCCAGGAGGGTTTGAACAGGTGTTTCTTGAGAGGGCAAATGGCAACACCTTTACATTTTTTGCTGCCTCTCCCTGCCCCCAGTGCAAACTATCAGCCCGTAGACACAGTGAGTGCTCATTTCCAAGCAAGAGCATAGAGTTTGGCACTCTGGACAAAAAAAGGTTTGAATGGCTTCTGCTCCGCACTTACCCATTTCTAGCTTCACCCACAATAATGGTCATACCCCTTAAGAGGTGACCAGGGACAGGCAGATCGTGTGCCTGGAACTGCGTAGTTCCTTCTGGCTAACTTAACGCGATGCACTATGTGCCAAGGTGAGCTCCCAAGCAAAACCCAGTGCTCTCAGCAATATTACAGGCTTACCCTTTGTCTTTTATCCAGTAGGGCCCTGGTACAGTCTCCCAAAGCTCAGTCAAGGAGTTTACTAAACCCAAAGCTACAATAGGAGCCACAGTAGCTATGGGTGCAGCCAGAAAATCTTGAGAGAAGAATCATCTTGGCAGAAGAATCAGAAGAAAAAAACCTCCATAGAAAGGAGGTAAACTTCTCCTTAGAAGAGACAAGAGGTTCATTACCTAAGAACTCTAGCAAAAAAACTGAGGTTTGCTGGGAGTAGGAGGTATTTTATAGGTGGTGCACCTAATTTTATCCAATTACCTCAGGGTAACTACATATATTTATACTAAAAACTAAAGCTCCTGTGTCCTGTACTGTATGACACTTTCTTCTTGCCCTGGTCACCACCAAGACTAGAAATGAAGGGAAAATTCAAACTAAATTTGAACTGTCACCAGAACAGGACCAAAAGGGAAACCTCTCAATGAGGACAACTGGTCTGGAGACAACTACTTAAGAGGGCATTTCTCTCACTTTTTAGAGATTTCCTCTAATTTCATGTTATGACTACAGGACAGGAAGTGAATGAAAAACTCCCCTTTGAGACACAGATAGCAAAAAAACACTGAAACATATGAAAGGGGCTTTACCCATTCAATACTCTTTTCAAAATGAAACAAGGTATTGCTTTCTCAGTAATACATTTGCATACATCCATTATTTTACATCTTACCGCTTTTATTTATACCAGAGCTGCTAAAACACTCTTTATCCAGCCAGATCCCCAAACCAAACTATGAAACTGAAGCCCTAATTTTTGTCATCACAAATACTATTTAGATAGCTTGAGAAATATAGTGTTGCTGTGTAAAAAACAGGATGTTCATGTCCCAAGTTGCAATGCAAGTTTGTGCAGAGATTAAGGGACCATTCACACGATGCGCTGCCATTCTTTCTGAATGGCACCCTGAAGCACCTTGTGCACAGATTCATGCTGCAGCACTGCACATTGTGTGACAACACACTAACATTTGCTGCAGTGTACTGCCAAAAATGCTACATACACTTTTTTTGGTGCTTTAGATAGCCCACTCAAATGAATGAGCTGCCTTAACCTCCCTAGTGGTATTCCCGAGCGTAGCTTGGGGTAAAATGTCAGTGCCAAAACCGGTAACCCCGAGCTACACTCGGGCTTACCATGCGGCGCTGCATAGGGAGTCCCTGCAGAGCTTACCTTATCCTTCGCTCCCGCAATGTGTCCCCTGCAGCGTCCCCGGCCATCTCCTCCGGCCGATGCCGGCATCAGGCTTCTGTGTTCCGGTCCCTCTGATGTTGCGACGTACGGGTGCCGCCGCCGGCGGCGGCGGAAAATTTAAAAAAATGTCATTTTTTTCTAAACAAATTTTACATAGCAAAACATTGCTGTTTCAACCCATTTCACATACATTTTGTCCCGAGTGCTTTGTCCTGTGCCCTGCCTGCATTTTGTCTGTTCTTTCTGCCTGGAAACTGAGAAAAGTCCATGGTGTCCAAAAAGTGTCCCTTTAGGTCAAAAGTGGGTTTAGATCAGCTAGAGAACAGAGATAGTAAATCAGAACCACTTACAGAATTGAGTGATGATTCGTGGGGAAATTCGTCATCAGACACTGAAAAGGATTTTGCGACTTTGCTCAGCAATGTGTGAACTTGGCGCTCTATTTCAAATTTCAGTGTTTTTGGTTTGATTATATTATTGAATTAAATGTATTATTATTATATTATTTTTTATGATTATTTATTAAATTATAATTTATGATTTCGTATTTCAAATGTTATCATACCCGGGATGTTTAATAGACTCTTGTTCGGAGAGATTTCAGTGAGTTATTCCTAAAAATTACAGCCTACAATAAAAAAACAACATATTTCCATGCAAAATAATGGTACCCTTTTTTACTTTCAGCACCAAAAATCTGAAATAATCAATCAGACCGCTAGGGAGGTTAATGGAAAACATTATGTGTAGTATAGTGCAACTCAAAGTTTTTGTGTAAACGCAAAGCAATAGTGTGATTGGACTCTTAAGGTAATGATGTGCAAATCATCAACGCATTCTGAAAAAGGTGGCTGGGTTTCACCATCTTAGCCTGTATTCTTTGACACATACAATGCAGGCAGGACTTGCACTATATGTACACATCATATGTCAAGGGACAAATATAAGGACGGGAAGTCTTTACTTTAGTAACCCAATTTCTTTACTGAATACCACACTGTGCTCTTCAAGCTATTAATACAAGGCCCTTTTTTACTGGGTCAGTATCTCTAAATAAAGTCTCCTTTATAATGCCACATTATGGATCTCACGTGGGTGCAATATATACAATATATGAAACAGAGCCAGAGTTTTTGACCTCTTACATGGGGAAAGAATGTGTGCAGAGAACAAAAAAACCCTACTTACAAAGTGACCTCAGTACATGGAAGACTCTGGTGTTCCTCATTTTATATCTAAAAAAAAACTAAAGGCTAAAAAATGTTTAAGGTAAAGTATAAGACAGTACATACCAATATGCTGCTAACAAGGAAAACTTCAAACATTGTGGGTCCCAGATTAAACACCAGGGCACTGAGCACGAAGCTGATGCCTCTTGTACCCCGATCAATGGCTTTAGAGAGTGCTCCTGTCTGTCTGCTCAGGTGGAAACCAAGGTCCAGATTATGCAGATGTAAAAATACATTTTTTGCAATCCTCCTGATGGAACTTTGTGCCACTTTCCCAAACACAGCATTTCTCATTTCATTGAAAAGGGCAGAGCTGGCTCTAGCTGCACCATCTAAAAATAGAAAAAAAAAATACAGAGACTGAACATGAGAAAACACACTGTTCTTCAAAGAAATCTATGGTCACAGAAAACACTTTCATTTTAAAACATCAGCATTTTAAGAGAAATACAAATAATACCATTATTTTTGCCAATCCAATGTTAGCTCACTTAAAAATCTCCTTTTATGTTGTGAACTCTGCCTGTCTGCTAGTCATCTCTTTTCATAACTTCCTAGATTCCTTGCATGCTTTGCAGCTTCTCTGCTGTTTACTTTCAGTTTCTAAGGACTATGTATCCCATGGTATCTTGCTGCCTGCAATCATTGATTTCTGTACTGACTTCGCCTCAGTACATCTGTAGTGCAGTAGGAAGGCTCTAAGAAATGTATGACCCAGCAGTGCCTGCTCACAGGCCATAATAAATATTTGTGACAGAATTCAAAGGAAGTCACTGTGAAAGCACCTTCACAAAGTAAGTTTACAAAACTTCAATATCATTCAGAATAGAAATAAACTAGAAATAATATACAATGTGGAAATTAATATATGACTGTACATTTTGATCACAGATGCAAATAGGCTGCAACTAAGATATACATAATCTATGCACACAAGTTCTAATTAAGCCAATGTTATATGGGGAGATGTAGATCTAGGTCCACTAGAAGGATCCTAAAAAATAGCTGTGATAAATAGTTTATTTAAAGACCAAGTTCACCTTAAAAAAAAAAAAAAAAAAAAAAAAAATTAACGATTTTGCAATTTAAAAAAAAGGGGATTTGTTTTTTTTTTTTTTTTTTTTTTTTTTTACAGGAGCCTGAAAAGCATTGTGCTTGTGATCAGCAGATCATGGGTGCAATGTCAGGCTCCTACACTGTCTTCCTTTGTGCCCATATCCCCATACGAGCTATTACAAAGCTAGAGGAAGAATGAATGAATTATGAGCGTGTGTGATTTGTGCACTTACAGCCCATTCCATCTACAAACATGTCTGTCGCTTTGGCAGATGGGACTTGCAGTTCATTCACTCTCAGAGATCTGTGAATGAATGACCCGGCTGGGTAGGCAGAGCCCTGCACAGCCACACTGTTTTAAAATATGTGACAGCGGGTGCATGGAGAGGATCCCCCTCCCACTTTGGGGGGTTGCTTAAAATGTAACATGTTACCAAAGATGAACTTATCCTTTAAATAATCTATTTTTCTCTATTGACTTAAGAACAATTTATTAGAACATGTGCTGACAGCAAAATTTTCAATGTATGAAGATATAGTTCAGACACTGATAGCAACTGCTCCTTTAGCAACAAAGTGCACAACTGGAAAACACAACTTTTTTGGGTGCTGCAAGAAGTCCATCGGTAGTGCCATGCTCAAGTCACTTGTTTCCCTTTTCTTCTTTTTATTTTATTTTTTAATTCCCCAAATTAAAGTCTGCTCTCCCTATTTTCACTTGTTATCCCTTTACAGAATTTTGATTTTAATATACAGTATATCCAATCCATCCAATTAGTATATTCTGTTCTAAAAAGATTGATGCATGAAAACTGCAGTAATGAACTTGAACAAATATTGTGTCTTGTGTTGGAGCTGAGATAAGAAAAATACTCATTACTAAAGTTAAAGATGTCCAGAAAAACATAAAAAGTGTGAAGGCACACAGCAGAGCAGAGGAACGGTGCAGAGGTCGAACATCAATCTCTTTCTGATCAAAGAGCAAAACACCTCAGTGTGTATACTGGATGGGCATAAGCGAGACAGCATCCGTTAGAAGTTATAAATATAGCTGGAAGCAAAATGTTACAAAAAGCTAAACAAAATGCGTGTGTTCTAATGTTACGCTACTGCTGTGAGAGGCAAGTGACAAAAATGTAGTTAACAGTAGGTTGTCTTGTATGCTTTCATTAACACAAACTGTATAAAAATAAACACTTGCTGGACTTGACATTATGTCTGGTCAAGTTAACCTAGCTAGGGCTTGCTCACACCACAAGACATGCATTACTGAGTTTATAATGCATGTGTGAATGTGCACTGCAACGCATTGTTAATATGCAATGCAGTGCTTGCTTTTTCCCCCTTTTTTTTAACTCCTACTATTCTATAGTACAGTGCAGTATGCGGATATGCATTTTAACAAGTTCTTGGCCTTTGCTCTGTTGCACCAAGAATGATGCATGTCTACATTGTTTCCCAGCACACACCAACACAATGATTTGTGTGACAGGGCATATTGACAGAAGTATTTACTGTGTCTTTGCTTTGAGCCCATATTGATCAGTTCAGATCAATGTAGCTGTCTAAATTGGCCCTAGTATGTGTATGTATGAATGTGAGTTAGGGACCTTAGATTGTATGCCCTTTGAGGGTTGGGGACTGATGTGAATGTATAATATATATGTAAAGCGCTGCGTAAATTGACGGCGCTATATAAGTGCCTGAAATAAATAAATAGTGGGTGAAAAGGAGCCCTAAAAGTTGCAGTAGGCTCCATCATGGCTTAAAGGTTGCTGCTGGCAAAAATAATTTAGCTTAGTATAGGGCTTGGTTCACTCAGAGAATCTGGGACGAATTAGCAGAGTGTTGCAAGCATATTAAGCATATCTTCTAAAACAAAAAATGGAGCAGGTGCTGCTCCTAAATGACAAAAGAGGCACAAGTCACACACTATTAAAGCAATATCAGGTTCATGTTAAAGGCTATCTTCAGAAGTGGAATGGAATGCAAAGGCTTAAAACAGTTGTAAAGGCAGAAGGGATTTTTTTTTTAGCTTAATGCATTCTCTGAAGAAGTGGATTGGGGCTGCTCTGTGCAATGGTAAGTATGGCATGTTTGTTATTACAAAAAAAAAAAAAATTACCTTTACAATCACTTTATATACATGTGTGCTCAGTAAGCCAGCCCACCACAGCTTCCAAAACATACATGCTTGTGAGATAAGAGAACACTACTGTCACGCACAGTAGGCTATATAGATTAGCCTGTCAAAATGTGGTCCGTGGAAAGAAGGAACACCTTTAGAAACACAGGGGTTAATTTACTAAAACTGGAGAGTGCAAAATATGGTGCAGCTGTTCATGGCAGCCAACCAGCTTCTAACTTAATCTTGTTCAATTAAGTTTTGACAAAAAAAAAATGGAAGCTGATTGGTTTCTATGCAGAGCTACACCAGATTTTGCACGCTCCAGTTTTAGTAAATCAACTTCACAGTGTCCAGTCTAAAGAAAAAAAAACACCTGGGAATAGCTTGTAGTCCAGAGGGCAGGGAAGAAACACTAGAATAAAGCTGGCCATACACTATTAGATTGTTTTTTGTGGGCTGAACATATACAGCGTGGATGGACGAATCTTCCTGTTAGACTATAGTATTGTAAACTGCATATTGACTGGATGCAGCTACTGTTTAGCCAACAATTTTATACTCAAACCATTCAACTTTTTATTTGAAGGATGCCAACAAGGCCACCTACTAAACACATTTGCATGGTTCATCATTCAAACAGTATATAGCCAGAAGAAGATATGTCATAAAAAACAAAAATGATGATATTTAACTCCCTAAGAAACCAAGTACATATAAACACTTGGTTCCGTTCAAAGCAGTCCCTTAAAAAGGAGACACATTTGTGACCGACAGCTCTGGTCTCTGGCAGCAGGGGCTGTTCGGATGGATGACGCAGTGCTGCAATGCATGATATTTCAGTTTTAAAACTCAGCGATCAGCAGTGGTATACTCTACATTGGCCTGACATCACTGATGTGATCCATCAGCCAATTGAAAATGGAAGGAAACTCATGGACTTTATAGGCACTACAACAATAATTCATAAAATGCAAATCTTTATTAAACATATACATACATATATAAAATCATTACAGAATATAACCTAACCCTGTAACACAGGGGAAAATCAATGCAGATTCACATACTATTGGTGAACCTCACAATTTCAAAAGATATGCCGCAACTTGGCAACAGCTAAAAGGCTTAGCCATCCAGTCTTTACTGGGGGGCTTATCCAGGGTCCTGGACTCTTTGTTGAATGTTTAGGGAGGTATGTTGTTTCCTTTCGTTTTGTCCCCTCTGTTGCCCAACCAGTTACCCAAGACTGGGGTCCTGTCTGTGGGCTGTTAGGGCTCATATGCCCTATAAAATTATTTACTTTCTTTTTCTGTTTTTTTTTATAGACCGTTAGATGCAATACTGGCCTCTTAGAGCTAACAAAGGTGTATGTTACCAGGAAAATAGTCAGCGGCCCTACTATGCTCATCTAATGGGGAGGTGAGCCTCATTCCTCGATAGATATATATATATATATATATATATATATATATATATATATATGATATATTTATCATATAGCTGGGCCTCTGTATACCCTCATCAATACTAATATACCTATTTATGCACCAGGCACTGTCAAAGGGCGTGCGGTCCACTTTTCCGGTGTTGCTGGGATCCCCTCATTGATTGGCCTCTCAAGGTGTTATGGGGTGCTTTCCTCCATTGTCTATGTGCAGATGTATGTATATTGAAATAATATATCTTCTTTATCATCATCTGTTCTGATATGTGTACGCTATAAGTATTTTACGTAGGATGTTTGTGTGTTTATCAATGCAACTTTATATTTGCCATTTAGAAATCCTCTTATATCTCTTGAAGAAGTGGTATCATCGCGAAACAATGTTGAGCCATTATCATTACTATATAAAGAGTACCCCATTTTAGCTACTGCCAAGATGCGGCATATCTTTGAAATTGTGGGGTTCACCAATAGTATGTGAATCTGCATTGATTTTCTCGTATGTTACAGGGATTCTGTAATGATTTTATATATGTATATATTATATATGTATGTATGTATATGTTTAATAAAGCGTTGCATTTTATGAATTCTTGTTGTAGTGTCTATAAAGACCACGAGTTTCCTTCCATTTTCAATTAGTTAATATTAGGATGAGGCACTTTA